TGAGCACAACACCTATGCGTGGAGGAAGTGTACACACTTATACTCCCTCCTCATAATTAGGATTATTCAGAAAGCAGGGTTTCCCATTAGGGGCGACATCTCCTCTACGCGTAGTAGGCACCATGCTCACGAGATGGTGATCATTAGGAGCAAGCTAACATTTATATAACTCATCCTCTACACATGTTGACTGAATGCATGGAAGGATCATGCGTAGATTGAAACGGGACCCTGGCCTAATGCTCAGTCGTCGTCATCATCAGGCACCTATTTTTAGATTAATTCCTCTCTATAACACATTTAGGACTGAAACATGTTAATGGTGCATACAGATACATTACTTGCCCTTGTAAACATTCCATGGGACCAATCGTTATAAACACACCATGGGAGTAAGCCCACTTGCATGTACTGTTAGCACAGTAGTGAGCAATGCTCCCTCTAAGCTGTGGAATCATGTGAGCAAAAATTCTACTTTGTGAGCTCCCGACATTGAAGTTGTGAGCAGGCGATTTGGCTGGTGCATAGTTTGCTCTGGATGTCCTCCTTCCTGAGCTAAGACAAAAATGGGTGAGCCGGAGGCTAGAAAACTGAGCTAGCTCACGCTAACTCAGCTTAGAGGGAACACTGGGAGTGAGTAATTGACAGCTCAGATAAATGCATTATTGGCGTGCTATTTCTCCTTTCAGATGGGCCAACTAAGGCTGCGGTCACACGGAGCATTAGCCACGCTACAGAGACAGAAGATAGGCGGATTTTTCGGGCGCGATCACAGCGCCACATCTGGGAAGCGTAGAGCTCCGTGGCGAACCCGAGGCTTCCTGCCAAAGATGCGGGGTAAAAAACTAGTACCTCCAAGGTACTAGTTTCCGGAAACCACGGGGCAAGGGCGGGTGCCTGATCGCGTTTCCGGTGGTAGGTCGTGGCATCCAGTGCCCGCCCATGTCCCTTCGCTAAAAGGTTTTTTTTCCAAGTCTCCACGGGATGCGCACAAGCACCCAACGACGAATGCGCACACTTCGTTTAAAAACAAACAACACAGCCCCCTCCTCTTTTCCGTACCCCCCCACTCCTGGATTGGCCTGCTCGAGAGGAACTCTCTGCACCGGGCAGCAGAGGGGGAGGTGCAGGGGGGCGTGGCGGGAGGGCGGCCCGTCTGAAGCTCCTCCTGGAGGGGGCTGAAGCTCCTCCTGGAGGGGACCGGACGGAGGACACAGTTTGCATTCCTCTGCAGCCCTGGAAGGGGTTAAACCCGCGGAGCCTTTTGCTAGAAAGGCCGCTTCTTTGCCGCGCCGCAGGATTGTCCTGTGATTGGCACCTACCCCCTAAACACAGAACCTCGACGGGACCTCTATGGGACATCTGATCGCGCAGCCGCGTGTTATTTTGGTCCGGGGCAAACAGACATGCGTGTGACTGGGGCCTATGATGGTAAATGCATTTCTACTTGACTGGATGTTCATGGAACTCTTAGGGAGCACCTTTACTTACAATCACTCTCACCTCCATATCAGTTGAGTTGCTACTTCAGCCACTGTGGCATGAACTACTCTTTATGGTGCAATGATTAGATCTAGGATCATATTATAAATCTTACTT